TAAAATGTAAACGGTTATAAGTGCAAGATAATAGTAAAATATATATAATATAAAATAATAGTAAAATTAATCCAACGGGAAAGGGAAGGGAATATAATGTATATGCCCAAAACTTACGATCGCTAGCAACATTTGCAAAGTAAGAATTTTAGGTCAGCTGATGTTGTGATAATTATGTCGTCCTTTTTGTTCTTTCGGTTAGAGTCTGGGCTATCTGGCTGGCGGTACCGCTTGCGTTCATAAGTACGTATTCTACCTGTCCAGGTGTTAATCCTGGATTTTGAAAACGTTTTAAGAAGCGTAAGTACCTAAGTACCTAGTTGTTATATTTTTTGCTTTTGAATAAGTCCAACATGTCAGCTACACTTTTTGATTGCCAACCATTTTTGAAAATGCAAATCTATACTTATAATAAATCTGTAGGGGGGTCAATTCTGTACATTAACTATATTTTCAAAATAACTACCAGGGGGCGATAAGTGATCGATACTGCTGCCAAAAATACAATCAGTAAAGTTTTTGTCTGTCTGTATGTTCCTTATAGAAACAAAAACTACTCGACAGATTTTAACAAAACTTGGTACAATTATTCTTTATATTCCTGGGCAAGTTATAGGATACTTCACGCTACAAATAATAGGAGCAGAGCAGTGAAGGGAAATGTTGGGAAAACAGGATAAGTTACTCCCTTTTTTTAGCTTCCGTCGCGTGTACAGCCTAAATGGTTAAAGTTAAATAGATATCATGTATAACGGGAATATTCTACATAAAATTATCTACAAAATATCCTTAAACAGTATATGTCTATTTTTTATGGTTGACTCACAGTAACAAGTGTAACAAATAAAATCAAATTCTTTATTTCAAGTAGATTCTTCTGATAGCTTAGCAATTCTGAGCATTCTGATTATATTTGTTTATAATACTCTCACTTATACTTAATTAAAAAAGTTTAAGTACATTATTTATTAGCCTATCAATAAAAAAATTAAAGAAATCAGTATATATGCGTGCACCTTTTCGACGCCACGCTTCCAGATAATAATAGTAGGTATAGGGAGACAGGGACAGGCACAGGGACAGGGACAGGGACAGGGACAGGGACAGGGACAGGGTCAGGGTCAGGGCAAGGGACAGGGACAGGGACAGGGACAGGGACAGGGACAGGGTCAGGGTCAGGGACAGGGACAGGGACAGGGACAGGGACAGGGACAGGGACAGGGACAGGGACAGGGACAGGGACAGGGACAGGGACAGGGACAGGGACAGGGACAGGGACAGGGACAGGGACAGGGACAGGGACAGGGACAGGGACAGGGACAGGGACAGGGTCAGGGACAGGGACAGGGACAGGGACAGGGACAGGGACAGGGACAGGGACAGGGACAGGGACAGGGACAGGGACAGGGACAGGGACAGGGACAGGGACAGGGACAGGGACAGGGACAGGGACAGGGACAGGGACAGGGACAGGGACAGGGACAGGGACAGGGACAGGGACAGGGACAGGGACAGGGACAGGGACAGGGACAGGGACAGGGACAGGGACAGGGACAGGGACAGGGACAGGGACAGGGACAGGGACAGGGACAGGGACAGGGACAGGGACAGGGACAGGGACAGGGACAGGGACAGGGACAGGGACAGGGACAGGGACAGGGACAGGGACAGGGACAGGGACAGGGACAGGGACAGGGACAGGGACAGGGACAGGGACAGGGACAGGGACAGGGACTCTCGCTTCCACAACTCCCGATCCTTCGACCGTGTCCGCCAGTCTCGACGATAGGCGTTCCCTAGGTACTTGGATGTTCCCTAGGCACTTGGATGTTCCCTAGGCACTTTACTTTTCAAAGTTTATCTCTTTATATATCATCATAATTATAATAATCTAGATTAAGTTAACTCTTTCTTATCGATGTAATTAGGTCAAAACTTATTATTACTTACATCAATTGAGCTAGCTGTATAAAGTGTGATCTTGAAGCCCTTTATGCCAAACCCGATCAAAGGCCTTCGCTACGTCCAAACTGACTGCCATCGCTTCTCCCCTGGACTCGATCGCCTGTGCCCAACGGTGTGCCAGGTAAACTATAAGATCCCCAGCGGACCGGCCCTTATGGAAACCGTACTGTCAGTCACTAAGAAGCAGATGATCCTCCAAGTACAAGGAGTAGAAGGAGCTGGCAGTTAATGGTTGACTCCATTATTTTAGAAAAGAGGAAGGTCTGTAATTGGACGGATTTGTGTCAAAGTCAAATCATTTATTTCAAATAGACCATCATAACGCATTTACTCTCAGAGGTGCACTCACTTTTAACTAATTTCCACGTGTCACGTGACCTAAACATTGACTTATTCTGCACAAAGGCGGGCACAGTTAGACGACTTTTAACTAAATCATTCTTTGATTCTCAGTAGCGGTTCTCAAATTAATATTGAGATTGATCTGGTATTTATTCCTTTTTTTCCGATAGTTGTAATAATTATATGTGAGGGCTTGTCAATAGCAATTTAATAAATCTAGTTTAAGTTATAATATTTAAGTACTATAAGTCTCCTTTCTTCCCTCTGTAAAAAAAATATATTTATAAACAATGAAACAATGAAACAATGAATTTATTTTTGCAAATAGGCCATAAAACGGCACTTTTACACGTCAATAAACACTTTTGAAGGTCTAACAAAAAATAAATATCGAAAAGTGTGTGTCAGTCAGTCCGTCTGTCGTCTAGTGAAGCTATTTGCTCGTTCCAAAGTGTAAGTAGATTCCAATGGAGAATAACGAGCATGAAATTCCATGGTTACTCTTTTTATTATGTATATTTTACTAAATAATAATAATAATACTTTATATTATGTATTAGGACCGACATTCTGCTAGTCTAACCAATTATAACAGGTTACAGTTACAGGGTACTCTGTTAGCAAAGGGGAATGCAAAGTCCCCATAGTAATTTAGGCCCACTGTGCACACATATTAAAGTTCATGATTATAATAGAGGGTAATTCCAATAATCAATTGGTAAAAGAAATTATATCAAAAATACTTGGCACTTAAAATTTATTAAAGGTTTTATTATTTCATCAACACTAGTGTAATACCAAATCAAAATTGTTGCTACTAGGTCCAGACTGACTGCCGGGTTCGTAAGCCAAAGCGTCTAATACTAAATCCAATTTATCACCAGTGTCGTCATGAGTAGCAGGAGCAGGATCCATAATCAGGCTGTGGTCGTCAAGGATAGGAGAATCCTCAAAGTTAATGAGTGAAAGTAGTCAATTTAATCCACGATAAGTAAGCACAAGTCGCAAGTAAATAAACAAGACTTATGAATATATGGAAGACATGAGTAAAATAACAAGGTATTTTCTACTGAAACCAATTTCTTGTGCAGCTCTGGGCCTGAAATTGGCATTCTCCTTTATCAAGTTAGACAATGTAAATGTCTTGGTTGCTATTCTACTAAATTTGAGCTCACCACATAGCTCCGGTTAAATACCTATGCAGCTCTAGCAAATTGAATACATCTTGTATAATCTTATTGCAATATAATTATACTACTTATTATAAAAATGTGTAACCATTTTTTGTAACGTCAGTAAAAGTGTGTGTGTACAAGTATGGGAGAGCCATGCTTCGGCAATAATGGGTTGGCTCGACCGGAGTGATACTGTTCGACCCCTGAGACAGTCAAGTTTGCTGTCTCATCTAGTCGTGCTCGAGGATGCCTGGGATGTTAAAATAAAATAAGCAAGTAATGTTGTGATATGGAAGTAACATATTTATTTAATTTCTTAGTATTCTAAAATTATTGTATTACTCACAGACACAAGTAATGATAGAGCGGTAATGCAGCATTCTTAAATAACTAGGTATCTACAAAATCTACAAAACTAGAAATATACAATATTTTACAGGAATGTGGAGATCCGGGGGCGCGCTCAGTCGTCGGAGTCGGAGTCGGCCGACTGCGGCAGCGGGGGCGCGGCGGCCGGCGGGGGCTCCGCGCCGGCGGACGGCGCGTGGGGCGCGTGGGGGGCGTGGGGCGCGTGGGGCGCGTGAGTCGCGGGCAGCGCGTGAGTGGAGCAAGATGCGCGCGGCAACAGCAGCACGTCGACGGCGGCGCACGACGCCGACAGACGCGCCACGCGCCACACGCCGCCCGCGCCCCCGCCGCCCACGCCCCCGCCCCCGGCCGCGCCCACGCCGCGTGAATGAAACTCCAGCGTCTGCGCGGCGCGCGCGCCCCGCCAGCAGGCCAGGCGCGCGTACCGGCCCTCCTGCGCGGCCCCCGGGACATACTCCGCGCGCGCCCGGCCCTGCGGACCGATGTCTCTTACTTCTGACAACCTCTTTTCTTATACTCGAAGTTGACACCGACATTTTTTATTGCAAGATTGTTCTTATATTTACTGTTATGATTCAGACATACGTTTTAAGATAATATATTTTTATTAGAATATGTAAAATACGAGCGGGCGGAACACCGATGGTAATCGAGCAATAGGCGGTAGCGATAGTAGAAATACCGTCGACACTAAATTTCCTGTGAGAAGCACATAGTTTCGCGGAAATGCACAGTCGGAGTCTGGCGACCGACTGCGTACATTGTTGACGTAAACCGGTAGAGACATGCGGTAGGACCAAATAAACATCTTGGAACTTTTACATACTCCGTACGTTGTACAAGATGCAAAATTAAACCATATCATATCATATATTTAATCGTTATTAATAATCGACCTTTGCGACCTACAACGTGTCAATGTGTGTTGGAGTAACCCGTGGATCGTAAGGAAGCTGTCAATACCTGTTCCGAGTCCTGGCGACGTACGCAAAGCGGGCGCCAGTTTGCGTAGGCGGGGTCCGGGTCGTAGGCGGCGTCAGAGGCAGGCCGCGGGCGCGGGCCGGGGCCGGGGGCAGGGCCGGGGCCGGGGGCAGGGCCGGGGCCGGGGGCAGGGCCGGGTCCGCGGCGCGGCGGGCCCGGCGCGCGGCATCAGGCGGCGCGCTCGACGACGCAGACGCCGGCGTAGGAGCGCGCCACGGACATGGGCGCGGCCAGCGCGGCCCAGCAGTCGGCGGCGGGGTCGAACACCTCGACGGAGCTGAGGTTGGCGGCGCCGTCGTCCCCGCCCACGACGTACAGACGGCCGACGTGGGCGGCCACGGCGGCGTTGCGGCGCGCCGTCTGCATGGGCGGCGCCGGCGCCCAGCCCGCGCCGGCCCAGCGCTCCACGCTGCGGCGCACGGCGGGCCCGTCGTGGCCGCCCACGGCGTACAGCGCGCCGTCCACGACGCCCACGCCGCAGCCGGAGCGGCGCGCGCCCATGTCGTCCACGGGCTCCCACGCGTCGGCCGCGGGGTCGTAGCGCTCCACGGACTGCAGGCACTGGCGGGACGCGCCGTCGTACCCCCCCACGGCGTACAGCTTGCCCCCCAGCACGCCCACGCCCACGGACGAGCGCCGCGTCGACATGGACGCGATGGGCCGCCACACGCCCTCCCGCGTGTCCAGCGCCTCGGCCGAGCTCAGCCCCGTCGCGCCGTCGAACCTGCGCCACCACTCACGCTCTATACGCTGCCCGCTTACCGTACGCGTAGTACGAGGGGAATCAATGGGATTCAGTGTTTATACAAATTCTGTGTGTTTTGTAAAGATGACGATTGCAATAAGGCTCATATGACAGAGTAGAGGAGAGTGTATCGTGCACGGACCCGCCCACGGCGTAGATGACGTGTCCGATGACGGCGACGCCGAGCGTGGAGCGGCGCGCCAGCAGCGCGGGCCCGGGCGCCCAGCAGTCGGCCGCCACGTCGTACACGTCGACGCTGCGCACGCGCAAGGTGCCGTTGAAGCCGCCCACGGCGTACACCTTGCCGGCCAGCACGGCCAGCCCCGCGCGGCAGCGGCGCGCCGGCAGCTCGGCGGCCGGCCGCCAGCGCGCCAGCTCCAGCTGGAAGGCCTCCACGTCGCGGATGGCCTTGGGCGCCTGGCCGCCCACCACCAGCAGCTCGCGCGGCGCGCGCGGCGGCTGGCGGGGCCGCGCGCGGGGGCAGGCCGCCGCGCACGCCGCGCGCCGCTCCGGCCGCATCAGGTGGAACGACAGCGCCTCGATGACCAGGTCCTTGACGCGCAGCCCCGCGCTGGCCAGCGGCTCGGCGGCGGCGCGCGCGACCAGCTCGTCGCGCGCCAGCAGCGGCAGGCGGACGTGCTCCAGCAGCGCGGCCAGGTGGGCGGCGCGCGCGCGGGGCTCGTGCTGCATCCAGCGCAGGACGGCGTCCAGCACGACCTCCTCGCCCGGCACGGCCACGCGGTCCGAGTCCAGCAGGCGCGCCAGCGTGTCGGGCTCCAGCGCCAGGAACTCGTCGGAGTCGAGCACGTCGACGAAGTGGGTCTCGACGTAGCGCGCGGCGGCGTGGCGCAGGTCGGCGCAGGCGTGCAGGTCGGCGAAGGCGCGGATGCCGAGCGCGTTGTCGGCGCAGAGCGCGGCCGCCAGGAACCCGCAGCAGGCGGCGCGGACGCCGCCCACCTGCAGCAGCGACGCGCCCGCCAGCAGGCTCTGCGCAGACCTCCGTCTACATATACTTGCTTACGACGCCTCTCCTACCGTTCCTTCCAGATGTCATTACGAGAAGCCGAAAGCAAACCGATGTCGTTCGCTTCGAGTGGACTTGTTATTAAATTCATTACATTTTCCTTACTAAGAGCAAGTAAATACTTCACCGAGGATAAGGAAGCTTCGACCTCATACAGTCTAAACTAAAAGCACACACCGTGGGTACTCCCCGGTACAATACTGCTTATTATCAGATCATTAAGTAAAATAAGGAATCACTAAAGAAAAGATGAAAAATGGTTTAGATTAATTATTGCATTTGGTTAACAAACGTGGACCAACTGTGCACTGGAAGTTGTAAGACTCAGTTCAGTAGTTTCCATGAAGTTCTATAACACTCTCACAAAGTATCGAATTTGACTAGTTGATCGACTTTATCATGGCTACCGGCAATGGTATATATACCAATGTACAGTGATCTCTCTTTACTTTCTAAAATAAAAACCGGTAGCGATCACCGAATTGTTAGAGGAACACTGAATACCAATGTCAAGCTGGAAAGGTCAAGCCTGACGAGGTCCACACTCAAACCGTGGATGATATAAATAATGGTTACACCAGGATGTACAATCAAGTCGGCCAGCGAGTGATGGAGAGATACTTGCAGGTTGTTTGCGTGACAAAATCTGGAATATGCAAATACGCCAAACAACTAGAGTCACTGACATAGCTCTTGAAATCTGCAGGGTAACGAGAGTGGCGACCTCGTACCGGACAACGCGACGTGGGCAGATTCAGAGTCGCGGGGAGCCAACGGATGCGAGTGGCGACGTGTGGGTCGTGGTGTGGTCATGTTGTGTAGCTATGAGTACCTGCACATTGTCCTCGTTGATTACGAGCGAGTCCGGGCAGTATATGTACTCCACGATGGCCTCCAGTGCCTGCGGCTCCACGTTCTGAAATGATTTCATCCAAACTACATTGTTTATACAATAGTATTCAAATACATCTGTAGTGTAAATCCATAGTATAGTAGTGCTAGTCATTTCGAAGCCAAGTTTGTATTTCCATTGGTAAACAATTAAATCGTTTATAGATGCCGCATGCCACCTCTGTCGGCGCCTCCCATTCTTTGATGGCACTGTTCACTCGAAGCAATAGCGTCATCAATTGGATTTAGAATCTAGTTTAACTTTAAACTGCATAAAGTTTGTTCCGAGACGCGATAGATGGGGTGTGTGTATGTGTGTTGTTGTTGTTTTACCTTGTTTTAAAAAGGAACTCAAACCTGAATGGTAACAGTGGGCTGCGTGCTCTCGTCGAACTGTGTGAACATGGCGTGGAAGTAAGGCGAAGCGGCCGCCAGCACCGCCCGATGCGCCGGCACGCCGGGGCCGGCCTCGCCCTCCGGCGCCGGGTCCGGCGCGCCGGGCCCGCAGGCCGCGCCCCCCGCGCGCGCGTACAGCGTCACGTCGCAGAGCACGGCGGCGCGCCGCAGCCGCGCGAGCGCGCCCATGACGCGCGCGCAATGCGCGGCGCCGCCGCCCCCCGCGCCCGCGCCCGCCGCGCGCTGCGAGCACTCGTCCAGCGACGACTGCGACGCGCAGCGCACCATCATGCTGCACATACATTGCTTGTATCACCGAACACGTTTCTATACTCTACAGTAGTAGGACCGAGTGCAGCTACTTAATCATAATACCTACAGACATACAGAGAAGGAATCGGCGTTAATCACCATACTTGCTCAAGAGGGATTAGCGATTGTACATACATATAGTAATCAGTGATGTATAAGTCCAGGGTTCCTTGCGATATTTTACTTTGCCATAAAAATAATGTGTCAGTGGTGTCTAAATAACCTACTGTTCATTTTCATTGCCAGGATTCGAACTCGCACCTCCCGGCACACTTAGACACTCGCACAATAAGGGAGTTAATGCATAACACAATATAATAGAATATGTCTGGTGGTCCAGCTCACATGGTCGCCAGTACTCGGTTGTTTGAGATTTGGAGTGTCATATAAGATAGAATACATTGAAGACGCAAACGTTGTCTATTCCTTGCTGTCGTGCTGAATGCACCACATTCTGTATTAACAGCAGGTTTGGCAAATATGATAGTATAGCAATGTGAACCTGTAGCGCCCCCTGTCTCCGTCACCCTCGGCTGCACTGTTATCCACCCCCAACCTGTAAACATTTGTCAGACATATAATATTTTGTATAAAACTTCTCAATTGTTGACCTAAACTGACCTGGAGGAACATCGCAAATGTGTTTAGTATATTATTATTACGTCACTACGGACTGTGCATATTGCTCATACAAGCGAATTAGAAACAGAAGTTGTGCTTATACACAGTGACCACGAAACGTACAGAAATACCTATCTAAACTGTTAGCTAACTTCTAACAATTTGCGAGCCAAGCCCAAGCAGGGCACACCGCCACCGGATCCACCTCCAGTCCTGCCAGAGTCTTCCCAGAAAAGTAGTTTGTTTTACAACGTTCATTGAAACAATGAATTTATTTTTGCAAATAGGCCACAAAACAACACTTTTAACGCGTTACACGTCAAAATTATATTTAAAAAAATTGATGAAGCCGGCATTTTCTATCCGACTATTCTTCGAAGGAATGCCGAAACAAACCTGGAGATCCAGACAGTGAAAAAGAAATGTGTGAGAACCGTGCAAGTTCATTCTGTAGATAGTGGTCTTTTGAGGAAAGAACCACACCAATTTAAGTGGACCCGTTCGTTGTCCGACGACCTATACCGATCAAAAGGATATTTATGTGGGGCGCGTCAATACTCAAACTGTCAGAACGTAGATAAAAGGGTGACAAATCAAACTAAGCAAATTATCGTCCAATAAGTCTTGTATCCCATTTGTACAAAATTTTATTAAAATAATAGAAAACAGAATATCCGACCATTTGGACCAGCATCAACCACATGAGCGAGCAGGTTTCCGACGCGGTTTCTCTACTACGGATCACCTTCATAACTTCATAACTATTGAAAAATAGTGTGAATTTAAACTCCCACTCTACATAGCGTTCATAGACTACTCTAAAGCCTTCGACAGTCTCACCCACCCATCCATATTTATAGCTTTACATAAGCAAAACATTCCAGAAATATATATTAATCTGCTAAAACATATTTATAAAAGTACTGCAGCAATCAAGCTACGTAAGTTAGGCCAATCCTTCCCTATCCGCAAAGAAGTCAAACAGGGCGACCCGCTATCTCCGAAATTCTTCACAGCGACCTTACAAGAGGTTTTTAAAAAGGTGGAGCAGTGCTTGAGCTGGAGAAGAGGTTAACAAACCTCCGTTTCGCCGATGGCATCGTGCTTTTCTCGTCTTCAGTATCAGAACTAGGCAACATAGCAGATCGAGCCTTAAGGTTGGACTGAAGATGAATATGTCAAAGACCAAACTAATGACAAATGGTCCAAAACACAGATTGGAAATAGATGGAGCAGAAATTGCATACGTTCAGGAATATATCTATCTGGGCCAACTATATAGTTTCTTTCCACGCGAGACAAGAAAAAGAAGTTAATCGACGTACCGAGAACAATTGGAAGAGCTATTAGTCCATGGGATACCTAATGAAAGACAATCTGCATTTTGCCCATCCTTAGCGCTCAGACCTTATCTTTGACAAAACATCAGAAGTCCAAACTCAAGGTTTGCTAGCGAGCCATGGAGCGCAGCATCTTAGGAGTTCGATTAACGGACAAAATAAGGTATACCGTACTGTGCTCCTAAACTCAAATTGCTGACGTTTTTCTGAAAGCCGCAGACCTCAAGTGGAACTGGGCGGAACATGTTTGCTGCATGTCAGACGAGCAGTGGGCAAAATTTATTACCGAATGGAGGCCACACAACGCTAATAGACACCGAGGCAGGCCCAGAAGAAGATGGCGGGACGAACTTGATGTCTTCAATAAGCTTTCTCCAGAGAGGTGTAGGTGGAATAAGGGCAGGGAGGCCTTTGCCCTGCCCTTATTTTTATGTCATATTGTAAGTCAAGAAAGATAAGTGTCAAGGCATCTGAGAAAGCATCAGCTTTTCAAACGCCTTATTTAGCACTGGTAAAATATGAGATTGGCCTAATTATTGAGTTCTACACACTATCGCCAGATTAAACATCAGAAGTACTTAACTGTGTTTAATCAGATCCAGAAAAACTCCTACTACACATGAAGCTATAAAAGGGGCTGTGACTTCTTTGACAGGCCACTGTAACAGTCAATCCCCATAGTTCACAGTCGACTTTAATGTATTTAATCACCTTTATTACTACTTGACGGAAAGTGTTGCAGATTATTCTATATCTTCCATAGTTTTTGAAGGAATATTTTTGAAAAACCTTGCAAATTCTTGGGCAACTTTCCAATACGCAACAATGTGTCCATTTTCAGTAATGAAATGAAACATTATTATATGTGATTTATTTCTGCCAGTGTTGTTCATAATTTTCCATGAAGCTTTCAGTTTGTTTTCATCAATCTTAATCTTATTGCTTGGGTAAAGTGATTCGGCTTGGTTACAGACTATTTTAAATATGATTGAAATTCACTTATTAAAGGGTTTCAGTGCTCTCACTACTTGGTTCTACAAATTGCTGGTGAATCCCAGTCACAGATAACAAATTTACACTAAATGACTTCATGTTTAAGGGAAATGTTTCATTGAAAATTGTGTTTTAATAATTGACAGAAGTTAGCATACATCTGGACATTCATTATCACATAGTTGGCTGCATAGTTTATATTTTAAATTGTTATTTCATGTTTTTTTTTATTTATGATTTGTTTTAATACTTTTTTCTGTTTTGGACAACACTGTAATTCAAGAAGACTTCTGTTGACAATTATTTATGTAAATACTTAATCGCAATTACAGAAAATATGATGTATACAAGTCACTGTGGTGGTTTTTTAGAATTGAATATACTGCCAAAAGAATCTTGTTCACAACATGCAGTTATTGTAAAATTTAACTACAACTGTAAAATCCCCTGTTGTCTCCAAATTCAGTTTAACCTTTCAATTATGGCAATTACAGACACAATAGTAGTACAATAGGTGCGCAAACACTCATTCATTTGGGGTTTAATAAATTAATAGTTATCTACACTTGTTGCTAAATGTTGATTCTTCATCATACTATTATAATATGTACAAATTAATCACAATATTATATCAATACCAAAACAATATAGCTTTCTCACTACTTATAACTAATTCAAAAACTTTGCATTTCCTAGGAATACAATAAAACATAGAATTGACCAAGTACTAAATATAAAAGCAATAACATATTTTTTGGTATCAATACAAACTTCTAAGTTGCCATGAATGTGTTTCCTCTCTCAACATCACCAAACCAACGACAGCAACACAATACGCTAAGGTACTTACAGTGCACGTTCACGCTCGGAGTCTGCCTGTGCCTCCATGCTGTTGGACTGCTGGGGATATTCAGGCGCTACGCCACTAGAATTGCAGTCATCTAAAATAAACAGACACTTTTTTTACTGAATCATTCAGCACGAAAAGGAGTCGAACTATTCACACATTCATTTTAAAATATAAAATATATTATATATTTATTCTTCCCATTTGCAAAATGATAATGTATTGATGACAAATTCAAAATAGTAAACAATTGTCAAACTCTCTAAACATGTGTATGTCAAATATGTCAATGTCAAATTAAATGTCTCTGGCCTGCGCCGAAGTCGCTGAGATGTATTTTATCTATGGTCGAAGCGCATAATCTCCATCGAATCTCAAAAGAGAAAGATGAAGAAAAGGAAAGTTATTTTGTCTTTAGAAGCACCCACGAAGGTAAAGACAGATGATGATCTTAGGTCCAACTTGCTACTACTTTAACTGATTCTGATTTATTAAAAAATAGTCATTGACAACAAAATATGTTATGACGTAAAAATAATCACAAATATAGGCGATAAAGCTTGCGATAAAGTTGATATTTTGCTCCTTACAAATTTTGAATCTCTATTGTCCATTGCTTATAAACTACACTAGTGATAAATACCTATTAAAAGGCGACAGTTTTAACCAAATCGCAAAATCATCAATCGACGATTATTACAAAAAGCTACACATTAGTCATGGATTTCCGCAAAGTAACGCCTGATTCTATAAAAAAGCTACACTACAGAGGTAAAACTTACACGTAAAAATAATATAAATAAATACTGTAGTATTAATAGTAGTAGTAGTAGTGAGTTGTATGTGAGTGAAAGAAAGGGAAGCATTATGTCATTATGTATACATATGAATCTGGAACAACAACCATAATCTCGTTATCTGACAAGAAACTCGCCTTAGTGTAAACTAAATGAATGTAAACTTATGAAATTTAAACAAATATAATTAATGTAAAATTTAATAATTATTCTTAAACTTAGTAAAAGATAGCTTGATCTCTGGGACAGCTGTCAGTAAAATCGCGCCTATGAAGTTCTGAATTTAACAGTACGGAGAAACCATCGATCACTAATAAAGAACTAGATACACAATCCCATACAAAAGTTCGCTTCAAAACTGTCGCCAACTGTATTTAGGTACTTATACTTGAAATAAAAATGCATTAATGTAAATTAAACCTTAAATGCAACTCATAGAGTTGTTTTTACAAAGTGATGTACAAAATCTTAATACTTTTTGCGACCGAAGCTCTTGACAAACACAAATCATAAGAAATTGAATCATATTCGCATGTTTTTAAGTCGAATTTACAAAGTGTCAAAAATAAGCAATAAAATTTAACGACTTCGGCTCACCGCTAGGACAAAGAATGATTGGAGTCGAAATGTCTCGTAAGAAATATATTTCTTTCGTATTTTATAATTTATCAAAAAAAGAAAATACGCAAATTAAAACGCATTACTTATAGTATTCTTTTCTATAGGTTTGATCATTTATTTACCAATGAAACTAATGCATATAGTTATAATTCTTTTTTTTTTATTTTCGTCCTCCTTAATCCTTTCTATTCGAAGTCAAATAAAAAAGATGTAAAATAATAAAAAGAATATATATCTAAAGTAAGTACTGAAAATGTTGGCGTTATTGTTGTAAATTTTTCATATCGCACGGGATTTTGATGAAAGCTAAAAAAAATGTCTTTACTGCAGTTAAAATTAAATCCATTATATCTGCCTATTCCATATTTTAATAAACACAGTAAAGAATTATGATATTAAATAAAAACTATTTTTTAATAAAAAAAAACAATAAATAAAATTAGGAACAATAGCGTCTCCGCTAAACGGAACAGAATCAATCCACGTAAACCGAACAACTTAAGTGGTCATGCTAGAGAATGATTTTACGTTTAGTATAAGTGTCTTTATAAACTGTGTGCATTATAACCCCGGTTTTTGAATACGATTTCATTTGGAAAAAGTTTTAAAGTTAATTTCTTAATAAAATATCAATATTTAAAATAGAATGATGACATTTATATAATGATAATATTATTACTTAACGAAAATATGAAATTCCATCCTTTTTTTGCATCTTAGATGTGTGTGTTTTTGCAGTTTCTTAACGAGCACTGAGGCGTGTTTACCGTCGGAGCATTCGAGTGGTACTAAACTAAAACTACACCGCGATGTTGAGTTTGGTGGACTTTCAGTTGGGACATTTTTTTGCCACTGATTGTGTATCTAGTTCTTTATTAGTGATCGATGGGAGAAACGTACCTGTAAATGTCATACTTTATGGGCATGCTGACCTAATTAGTGATGAGTGATGAATCCGTGACCACAAACTATAAACTATCGATATTTTTTCTTAATTCAAAATTAATGTTTCATTTCATTTTATTGTATATTTTAAAATAATATCATTATTTACAATAGTGAGTAAATAAAATTTAAATAGTAACCTACTCATGTAAAATTCTTTCGACAACTTTGGGTTTCGGGACATTCTGAAAGTGATTCGGATATTGATTTGGGGTGTACTCCTTTGGAATAAATTTATCTTAGATTAAAATATTCGTTTCATTTCAGTACCCAAATTATATTCCAATTAAACATATAATTTTAGCATCGATAAGTAAGAAACGTCGAAAATTACTATCGATATTTTTTTGTACCATGACAACCCTAGGAATGTCAGTTTGACGCATGTCGCAGAGATCAAGCTATCTTTTACAAGGTATAGGTACATAAACATAATTATACTTAGTCTTTCTGTTTGGCAAAAAGTTTAATGCTTCAAAATTATGAGAACAAACTCTCATTGATGGTGAAATTGGTTTGTCTTCCAGTTTTACTTTATAATTTATTTTGTCTTATGCGAATAAATGAAAACTTATTCCCGTAAGTCTTATTTTATTAGCAACAGGTTTTCATATATTATAATCGTTATACATTCAGTCAACAAAGTATCGGGAATGAATGTTTTTTTATGGTTCCAAATTCGAATTTTTTTTTTTTGTTGTTGTTAGATTGGCATAACTGTTTTCCATTTTGGCGCGGAATTTGAGTTGCATCTGTTATTTATATTAAAAACAGTGCTGTTTTTAGTTTTATAATATCTAGTGTGTATTGCGAATTTCATAATGGACAAAAACATCGAACAAAGTGTTTGTCTTAAATTTTGCATCGCCAATGAAATTTCGTGTTCGGAGGCACTCTGTTACAGAGTGCCTAGCACGAATGACTAACGTAATCGTAACGTTAACGTATCGAGACGTCGATACTTCATGTGACGAAAACGGAATGTCGCAGCACGAAGCCTATCGTATCGTCTAGCGAGAGCTCGAATCGAATTCGTTAGTGACGTCATGCTAATGTAAGCTAGAGAAGCACCCAAGTGAACGAATTGAATGAATTCTTGAACATAATTTAACTAAAGATTTCGTCTAAAAACTAAAATTAATTTTAAACATATTTCAACCTTCGTCTACACCTTTTATGGTATTATATTTAAATGAAAAAATATTAATTACGTGAAATAATTCTTAAAACAAGTCAAGAAGTATATAAAATGACTTTATCTATGAAAAAAATATTATTTGGTTATTTAAATTTTGTAACATAATTTACGATTTCCGAACGTTCTTTCGACAAAGGTGACGTTTGACGGCTATTGACGTATTGTTTTTTAACAAACAAAACAAATAATGTAGATAATTATGCGGCTATCTTATTATGCGGTTAGTTTAAATTTATTTTAAAATGAGGAGGACTCGGCTCCAATACGAATTAATGGTGGATTTCATGGAATATGCCAGTGACAAGCAGCGAGCCTTCAGTGTTCCGACCACTCCGCAGTAGCCATGAAGCCAGCCGTTCACCGACACCACCAGTCGCCAATCCTCCATTAGAAAAGGAATGCTGGAAGCTTCGACCGAAAAAAAAAATCTAAAGGGAGTTTAATCAAATTGTGTTTAGAGAATGATAAGAAACCTAGGAAGTTTGCTAGGGAGCGTGAGAAAACATATGGTATAATGGAACAAGAGCGTTTGGAATTACGACGAGAAGAATGAAGAGTAAGACAGAGAGATGCAGAGCTCCTTTTACAGGCTCAGTGGCTGGAACTTATGAGAGAGGCAATAAATGTATTAAAATATAATCTAGTTAAAAAGATGATTAATGTATATTTACATATTTTATTTTAAATTACTACATTTTGGAATGAGGAAAGATTATGTTAGAATTGAATTTAAAATGTCTCACTATAGTTACCTATTATAAAAACATAGGTAAGAATAGTTTTTAAGTTAGATTAGTGTGTAAGATGTTTTGGAAATGTATAATAATAAAACACTTGGGTCATCTGTGTAGTATATTTATTTGCTGTACCAGAATATTACTTAAAGCCCTTTCACTTATCAAATCATTGCTTCTATCATTTTCATGTCTCATAACAGAAGATGAGGTATGAGACAAGTCTTGATGCTGTTGTTGCAGCTGTTATTGTATCTACCTGTTGCTCAGGCACATTGAAATTTATGACCAAATTATGCAACACGCAGCAAGCCGTTGTCAAACACATTTTTCGGGAGCATAATACAGAGTGCGGTCTTTGCACAAGCATCGCCTCTTCTTTCTTTTACTGCAGTATATCGTGCGGGCCACGAGTTCCCTTTACCGCATCCAAAATGAGTAGGCGTCATTAGCCATGGTCGCTGTGGGTAGCCAGAATCACCTGTAAAAAAATACTTATTAGAAAACCTAATTTATACTAGCTACTTCCTCGCGGTTTCACCCGCTGCTCGACTCCTATTGATTTCATTTTAGTATTATAAGGTTAGTATTTGTTGGAGTTGCTCACAGAAGCACTTGAAAGCTTCTTTATTTAGGCGGTACCTAGTATTTCTAAACTACGTTTCAGTGATATCCTTTGGATTAGATATATTTCTGAATTAAGCTCGGCACACGATTTCTCTAGAATAATCATATATGTATAATATATTATTTACTAGAATAATCATATATAATATTTTTCTATAATAATCAATCAATATTATTTTCTTGAATACTTAAGTCTATATTAAGTGAAACATAACTTGAATAGGTAGGTACTTAGGCACTTACGAAGTTTTTTTTGACTCTTCATCTCCAAGTAAAATAGCCGCAAATAAACTATTTTTCCAACTTGGTTCGTACAGCGGCGGTTTTGCATGATGTTATACTCGTAAAGAATACTCACAAACATTATAATATATTATTTAAAACACGATTGAAATATTTCGAAACCTTTCTCACCGTCAAATTCTTAGTGACAAATGTTTCGACAGTTGTCGATAGCCAGCCTTCGAAACTTACGTTACTATACGTCAAAAGATCGTTCGTGCTTCCAATTTGTGTCAAAATGTTCTAAGTTTCGATAGTAACACGATAAGATTACTATACGATAGTTGTCAAAATCATTCGTGCTTGCGATTTTTAGTTCCTTTTACGCCCGGTAGGGGCGCTGTACAAATCCCATAGAAAATGCTTTCGATCTCGATACGAATACTTTCTCGATAATGTTCGTGCTAGGCACACAGAAGTCTTACGGTGAATCGACTTTATCAAAAACACGTGCTTATGAGTGGTACAAAGCGTTCAAAAGCGGTCGAGATGTGATGGAAGATTTGCCTCGTTCTGGTAGGCCATCAACGTCTGCAACTGAAGTTAACATCGCAAAAGTGATGAAAATCCTCATTCAAGTTTGAGAGAGATGGCCGCCGAACTTTCTGTATCTCACGAGTCGATCCGTACCATTTTAACAAATAATTTGGGTATGAAACGTGTTGCCGCTCGGCTAATGTTGGCGGCATATTCCTGTGTCGTCCACAGGCATGGTGACAGTAAAGAATGTCACGTAATTCCAGGGAAAAGCAGAGGTCGTCGTAAAGAGATCCAAACAGTCCAAATCCAAATCACAATCAAAGTCCAATAAACAAAGCCAAACGTAATACCTAAGTACAAAAATTACACGATCGAATACAAAGAGGTGCGCAGTAAACGAAGGAGCGTAGCGAACTCACGTACTCTTACTTACAGATAGAGACGCTACCAGACAAAGACACAGTATGCAACGCTGGTTGGTGAGTGAGCAAAACATTACCCTTAAAGGTTTTTACCTAAATGCGCACTATGGCTGACTTACTCAAATAATTTATAACCGTATTATAATTGTGAGAATTTTTTTTTGTAAAATGGGAAATAGGTAAAGACATTAGTTTAGTGCAGTAGTCCTATATACCATAATAGAATCCCTATGAAATGCACCAACTTTTTGAGTTACCTACTTGCCAAACTGACGTAGTAATTTTTTTTCAGTACGGTCAGTTGAAATTGAGAGAATTTAATAATCTGGAATTAAATTTGTAATTAAAAGATACATTTTCTTCCTAACCGGAGCAGTTAGGGTGGGATGTCGGGTTACACATTACAAAAACACTATTCAGAATGGCAAAAAATTGGAGTAACTTAACTGGAGTCCAAAAATCTTCACATGGTATTGTACATATTACAAAAAAGTAATATTGAAATAACTTTAAAATACGATTTTTTTTCTGATGACCACAATACGCAGCAGAATCACCCAGTTGCGGCTTGACGTCGACTTCTGGGACACCCTGATAATTGTACTCTATGGTTAACAGCTCAATCCTGGCTGTTTCATCCATCCATCATCCACGTTTCGTAGATGGATAATCCATTTGTAGCGACATCTAGCGCACTACATAAACAACAGCACCAATCACGAGCAAGAATCTACATCGCGCTATAAGAGTTTTCCACACAATTAGCACCCATACAGATATCCCGACAACAACGCCTGGTCGGAGGATCCTCCCTTTTCAATGGAGGATGAGGAACTTTCCACCCTGTTCCTCATACCTCCAAACATTCATGAAAGAAACTATTTCAATGCTAACGTTTAGTTTTCAATTTTTCTCTGTAACCGTGCCCGCGGGATTGCTTTCCGTCGATCTTGAGGTGCAGCGAGGCGACGTGCTGTTATGTATACTTACTACAACGAGGGACCAAGTTTTTTCTGCAAACTTTCTAGTGCAACGCGATCGAAGCAAAAATGCAAGATTGTTTTAAGCTAATAGCGCATGTCTGCGATTAACTTATGACTGAATAACCACATTACTGTGGATTGTAATATTATGGTTCCCTACTAAAATACGAAAGTTAATCTGCCTGTAACATCAAAACCACTGACGCTGAGGAAGGGTGTGTGCTACTTTTTTACGAAAAACAAATAACGCGGACGAAGTCACGGGCAAAAGCTAGTAGGTATGTACATATATTAATAATACAACAGAAAGCTTAAGTAAAAGATTTTAGAATCAAGTTTTAACACCAAAGCCAAAATTCTAATGGACGGCTAGATTTTTTTTATACACCTATATATTGTGGTACTTATCTATAGGTATACTAATACATACTATACCTGTAAGTATAATAATTAATTCAGTAATAATTATTAGTAGGTACAGAGGTAAAATGTGTAAGTTTGTATGTAGAGGTAATGTTGGGAACGGCTGGTCGGATTTCCAAAATTCTTTCACTGAGCTACAATGTTCCTGATTGCTATAGGTTATAAATTGTAGGTACTTGACTAGCGTACTTTAGTCAAGGAATCGCTTTAAACGCTGATGTTTTTAAAACCCGTGTGTGGAAGTGTGGGAGTGCCATGCTCCCTCTTTAGGGTATACATCTGTAGCCATGCTTCGGCACGAATGGGTCGGTTCGACGGGAGTAATACCACGGCCTCACAGAAAACCAACGTGAAACAATCCACAGCATTGTTTCGCGGCGTGAGTGACGTATACCGGAAGCCCAGGATCGGGCTCCCCTCCCACAAACCCTCCCCAATCTCTAAATCTCCAAATCCCTAATCCCCAAAAGGTTTGCAACGAACTCGTAACTCCTCTGTTGTGTCCATGTCCATGGCGGCGCTGATTGCTTACCATCAGGTAATCCGTCTGTTCGTTTGCCGACCTATATCACATAAAAATACCCCTGGATGCACTACTTTTATACTCGTGCGAAGCCACGGGTTACTAGTTGGATAATAAAAGAAAAAAAAAACATTGTTTTTGTCTGGAACTCGTGGGCTGTGGGTTTAGTGGAATAATATTATAGTTTGTTTCAGCGGAATACCTGTCTAGCTGAGCTGGGCCACTATTTAAAATGTCATAGCGTGGTGAGTTAAGACACTTGTTCATGAATCATAATCAGTAGATTCTGGTGCACAGCAGTTGCAGCGGCTTGCGAGGTCGTGGCGGGCGTCTCCCAACTACCTACCGGTACCGCTACTATATGCATGTGCTTGATGTATGACCTACGTGTGTGCTTGATGCTCGAATCAAGCACAAACATCATTGAGAAACCTTTCATAGTGAGTATTGTAGTAGGTAGCTTTCATAACGGCATGTCGTCAATCCTACCTTAACTGTACCTAATGTAAGTACCTACAGGTACAATGTGACAGTACAGTAGTCACATATATTTCATTAGTACTTACCTATGTGATAGGGGCGCAGCGCAAGCTTTTTTTTTATTTATTGATTAAGTAGGCAAACCCTGTACATAGTAGGGCAGGGCAGTAGACAACATAATAATGCTTCATGGGCAGCGAAAAGGATAAATAAAATAAGTAAGTGAGTAAGTACATTGATTAGATTAAGTATACAAGCACAGAGTACATTATTACTATAAGTAGTGAAATATACAAGGCGATTGAACAAGAAGCGTCCGTCGCGGCGAGCCGGCACAGCTGGCAGGCGGCGAGGCAGGAGGCGGGCGGCGCGCGGCGCGCGGGGTGCGAGCGGCCGGCGGCGCGGCTGGCGCGCGGCGCCGGGCGGTGCCGGCGGGCTCGAGCTGCCCCCCGCCGCGGCCGCGCCGGCTCAGTATCGCGAGCGAGCCCGCCGCCGCCGCCGCACCGACCGTGCCAGCCCACTCTGCTAGCGACATGGAGCACTTCATAGAAACCGTTCGCAAGTACCCCTGCCTGTGGAACACTACCGCGATCGAGTACCGCGACCAGGAGCTAAAGGACGCGGCCTGGGCCGAGGTCATGAAGGAGACGGACTTGTCGTCAGGTGAGCAACCAAGCGATGCACGCCACGCACTGCGCGAGTGTGACACACTGTTACAGAGAACACAAGGCGCGCCGCCCGGCGCCGCCTGGACCCTCCGCCCGCACTCGCACACTGTACACTAGTTCGTGTCGCACGACCACTGTACCTCGGACTATGCAAGTCCGAGGTACAGTGGTCGTATTGGATAAATTACAATTCCAAGCAGTAGGTACTGAGGTACAACGGGTTGCATTACGGGACAGGGTTCGATTCCCAGGGTTGAGGGTTTTATAAACATTACAGTTAGGTATATGTTATGTATAGGTCGAAACTCAAACGATGGCCGATGCGGACGCGCAGGGCATAATTATTTAGGTATTTAATATTACATTTTATTAAAGGCTTACAGACTAATGAACACCCACATGTATATATAGGTATATAGGTACAACAATATTGTGACCAGTGTATTGTCTAGTGTTGGTAACATGTTTGTGACGTCGATATACAGCGGTTGCAACATAGGTTTGTTTTATAATCTGTGCATGAGGATAATCATTTGATGCTGCCTGTAGGATTTGTCGCATACGGTACAGATTAAAAAAATAATACATATGTATATGGACTTCTCTGCTCGTCCTTCTTTATAGAATTACTTACTTTTGCCCCCGACTCCGTTCGCGTGGAATAGTGACTTCCTGCAGATTTTTGGTATAAAAACTATCCTATGTCCTTTCTCGAGTTCCAAACTATGTCTGTACCAAATTTCACAGAAATCGGTTCAGTAGTTTAGGCGTGAAGAAAACACAAAGCAGATAGTCTTTTCTTCACGTCTAAACTACTGACAGAGTTACTTTCGCATATATAATATTAAGTTTGAATTGATATACTAGCTTTATGTTGAAATATTTAGTTGACGTTCAAAAGTGCATAAGTCGGTACATGCTTATGTATATGTATGTAATGTAAGTTCAAACTACTTCAAACTCACCTACCTAATTACCAGTCTAATTGAAATAGTTTGTAAGTGATTTGAATTTGTCAATCGAAAGCATATTATAATTAAATTATATTTTCCTATTTATATTTAGGTAGAAAAAATAATATTTAATAACGTTGCTTCCAGTGAAAGAAGTCAAATTGAAATGGAAAAAGCTGCGGGACAGTTACCGCGACGCGCTCAAGAGGCAGAGCGAGATGCTGGCCAAGGACCCTGCTAATCCTGCCAAGAAGAACTATCCCTGGAAGTACATGGGGCTGATGCAGTTCCTGCAGCCATACATGAGCAACCGCAAGAAGCCCGCGGGCTCGCCCAGCTACCCAGCGCCGCAGCAGGCAGCCGAGAACGGGCACTCGTCGTCCGAGTCGGAGTCCGAGGCCGAGTCAGCGCCCAAGCGCAAGAACTGCTCGCAGCTGACCGTGATCGACCGCAAGCTGGACTACCTGTGCAAGGCTGCGGCTGCCAAGCGCTCGTGCCCCGACCTGGCCGCGCCCGCGCCCGCCGCCGCCGTCGCGCATCCCGACCCCCTCGACATCTTCTTCAACAGCATGTGCCAATCCACCAAACGCTTTCCCTTCCCGACGCAGATCAAGGTAACCACAGCTTCTCAAACATTACTATTTACATATATGTATAGTTATAAACCCTTTCTCGAGTAATGAAGAAACGCCCAGCATTTAGGGAGGAAGGCAAGGGAGGGTGCGAGTTTTACCAAAACCGTTGGCCGCCAGCGTGAAGCAAACCCACGGGTCATTTGCTTCATGCCTTCAATGACAAAAAATAATCACACTTTCAATTGACGTTTTGATGTTGTGCAACGTGTCGCGGGTTCGATTCCCGAATGGAACGTTTCGAGTTTGGGTGGCAGTATGTTTGTAAACGCACCCACGACACAGGAGAAAATCCTATTGCGGAGCAACATCTTTTCGATGAACAAAAAATAAATACAAGAAATGAACGCCCTTTGTTGTTATTCCGATTTTACATTAAAAAGGTTATTACATTAGTAGTAGGGAATTTAAAAATACGTGCCCCCACCGACTAGTTAGATAGTGCAGTAACTTCGATGAAGAATTGAATAACTTTTCCAGATAAAGAAGAGCCTGTTCAACGCCGTCATCGAGGCGGAGGAGGCGCTGCTGGCGGAGCAGGCGAGCTACGCCAGCCTGTGGGCGCAGGAGGCGGGCTCCTCGTCCAGCAGCGAGCCCAGTGACGACGAGCGCAAGCCTTCCTGAGCGACGCCAACCACGGCACCGCCTCTCCAATCTGCTGGCCGAGCGAGCCAGGCTCTGCTTGTGGCCCGATACTTATCTTTACTCTGACGTTTGCGAGTTTTCCCGGCGGACTAGTTATGAGCGTGCCACCATCTCATGGACTGGGCATGTGTGTAAATAATTAAATCCTGCCTCCAAGCGATTCCCGTCATGTAATGCAATATTCGAATACACACTCCCTTGAAAAGTCTCTGCTCATTTAGAGAAGGTGTAAATGTACAATTTTAATAAAAACTAAAAAGTTGGCAGGTCAACACATGCATGCCGTTACCGGGGTTAGTGTCTCTTTGATGTTTGCATATTTAATAGAAGATAAAGACATTTGAATTAACAGAGAAAAGCTCTAAGTACTAGTTTCAAGTCCCAACGGGACTCTTATTCATAAGCAGAGTGCTCGTCGCGCCGCCGACTGAATAATTAATAGTTTTAAATGTTTTGATTTTGTTTTTTAATCAAACTATTTTATACTGTCTAATAATAGATATACCGATCAATATTTTTTTGTATTAAGATTATTATTCGTATGTCGTTACCAATCACGGGATCACAGGGTCCCGGTCATTTGGAAGGCGTACGAGGGGCCGAAGCCAACTGCACAGGGGCCCTTTAAGACGAATTTACTGAAATTTAAATAAAATGGGACACACACCGGCGACCATCCCTATATGCACCATGGAAATACACGCAAGCACATTCCCCGGTTACTGTAGGACTAGTACAGATAGTGGAAACCAAGAACCACAAGAATCACCAGAAAGAATGGACCGGAGTGGGAACTATGGAAGGACTATAACACCTGCCGAAACAATGTAATAAATAAACGTAAAAATGGCAGGGAATGGTTGCTAGATATAGCAACAGAGGGACCATGGAAATGTGAGTAAGGGTGAAGAAACTGCCACCAGTTTTCTACTCAAATCATCTACCCAAGCATCCTGCATCCCTGGTCCAGTCGCCGACGAACATCTTCCACCCTCCGAGCAGGTTCACTTCTCTCGCGACTCCACACTGGGCGGCCAATAAAGGCAAGCCAGAGGGGGAGACCTGTTGCTCGTCATCGTTCACTCCGGCCAGCCGATAAAGGCAAACCGGAGATAAGTATCAGTGACTTCTCCCCGGAGCACTCGGAATAATGGAAGCCGTCGGGATCACTAATTCAAGTTATCTCGCCTCTAGGTGCAGGTTTATTACAATTATTGTAAAACATTGAAATTATACAATTTGGTCAAAGATTTTTGATTACGAATGACTGCAGAGATTAAGTTACTTCCAGAGTTTCGTAGATGTTCGTGTGAGTATGCTGTTCGGAATGGTTCCTATACAGTGACTCAGTACATAGGGAGCTATACGGAGTCACCAGCGCACAGCTGCTTATTGGAATAGAGAATAGCATAACTTGATCAGTATAATAATGTATATGTAATGATTTCAACGCTAAATCTCGTAAAGGTAAGCCGTGTCAGCAGTGGTAGATCCAACAAACACAAACAATGGAGTCAGCAAATCTCCGCTGTGGCTACAGCACATGTAACATACGCGGCTATATTGTAGCTCTGTATTAGTATAGTAGCCGTGTAGTATTGTACATTTGTAAATATTAAACATTGGTTCCCTACATACTTAGCATCTTGTTTATTTTACCCCTGACGCTAAAATGACGAGGTGATGTAAGTTTTAGTATAACTTACTTTTAAATCTATGTTAATGTAAGTAAAGCATGATTACAGCTGGCCAAGATAACCATTTGTAGTTCAAAGTTAGCGTTTATGCCTCCAGAGGTCCAGACTAATCATCAAACTAAGTGCGGGAATTAAAACCGCGACACGCGGTAGTTGTCCACTGTCCAGCCACCGCGCCAACCGTAAAGTCAATCATAAAACCTCATAAAACTAAACAAAATGTATGACATACCTAATATAACTACTTACATTATACATATGAGTTGTTACAAATAAACTAAAAATATTGCAAGCTTTTATCAAAAAATGTTTTGAACGAGATCAAGTTGAGGACCTGCCTAAATATTTTTTGATTACGTCATAAATCGTAATAGGTATTATGCTCTGCTTTCATGTGCCAGCCATTGTTATAATAAAAAATGTCTGGACTCGGTTTACACGAAGTTAAGCCTAGTACCTAACTGTATGAAAATCAGCTGAGCTACAGATCTGCGGCTCATCTCTGCTAACAATCTAGGGCAATAAAGGGCCGATTACTCCATATACTTACTCGAATTAAATTATAATACTTGCGTGCTGAAACGCATGATTATTAACAGTTAGGGGTCAAAAATACAATGACACTCTACCAATTTTAAAATGACTAAAATTTCTTTGTAGTAAAAGTTCAATGGGTCACAGCCAGTTTATTCAATAATTTAGATTCTATGCTATAATTAAAGCAGTCCTCAACCATTGACTCTATTCTACAAAGATATTTTGGTCATTTAAAAATTGGTAGAGAGAAATTGTATTTTCGACCCCTGACTGTACCTACATACATATACTGTTACACTATGCAAGTATATAATTGCTTTAATTAATTAATTGTATGCTACAAGCGAGAAATTCGAAAATTTTACACGGTTAGCAAACCATTTACAGTGTATTTATCATAATATGATAAATACCCATACGTACGTACCCATACATACACGTCGCTTGCTCGGCCTTGACCATAAGCACTAAGTTTGTCTACGTACCTACGTCAACAAAATATTAGTTTGTATTTAAAGGTGTATGGTGAGTATGTAACCACTACGTTTAGTAAAGGTAATTTTGATTAACCTAATACGAATGTAAGGTCTTTCTTTAGCTCCTGTTTTAGGGCAAATACCTAACAAGAAAATTGTATAATTAATTTCCTATCTTTGTAGGTACTGAGAACCACAATATTTACATAACCCATGTAGGTAATTGTTCCCTATTTGTCCTAACTAAATGTTGGTTCGTGTTATGCAAGTTTTCGTAAAATAAAAGCAGGTAGGAACTAGGAAGGGACCAAATCGATAGCAGGCGCGGCGTCCACTCGTGTCCGCGTCGTCGCGGCCTCACCAGCCGATAGTTCGGCTACTCGGCCGCGGTCGGAACCACTCGTCCCCCAGAACAAAATGTCCGACCGGCAAGCGACGAGCGACGCGACGAGTGGCGCTTGGCGCACGGAATGTCTGCGTTCTTGCTTTTTCACGTGTTTCTGAGTGTGCACTATTGTCTGCTCGCTCTCACGCGCGCCCTGCTCGTGCGTGCGAGCGAGCGCGCTATGGCCGTGGGCTCGCTTCTCACTGCGCGTGTCTGTCTGCCGCTGTGCACGGCGACATGTTTGCTCTGTGCCCTCGTTGTGGTGTGACGTGTAATCAATAGATATTTATAGTCCTAACACTTGTTAGCACGATTTTGATATAAAGTTAATACTTTTTTATTAACAATCGGGTTTATATGAAATACTTAGATGAATCTTAATAATTAAACTGTCTAACGGAGCTATAGTGATGTCAGTGAAGAAAGAGAGGAGGTTACCAAGCGCTGAGAGTAGGGGCGCGGCGGTAGGCCGGCTGGTGGACTGCAGCCAGGCTGACGACCGGCGCCTGATCCGGCTCGTGCGCGAGCGGCGTGTGCTGTATGCCCGGAACAATAATATGCCCGTGGCCATCTACTACAACCAGGTCAAACGCCTGTGGCTCGAGGTTGCCGACAAGATGGGGTGGACCGGTACGAAAACTTCAAATTACTTACCTACCTTTTTTCATATAATATACATTCAGAGTTTTTTTTTTTTTTAATAAACGTTGCCCCACACTAGGATTTTCTCCTGTGTCGTGGGTGCGGTTACAAACATACAATTTCACATGCACATGACACCCAGACCCGGAACAACAATTTGTGGATCACACAAAGAGTTGTTCCGTGCGGGAATCGAACCCGCGACACGTTGCACGGCAGCCAGTTGCCCAGCCACCGCACCAACCGTGCAGTCAAGTCAAAAAAGTTAGGTAGGTACTCAATTTCCCATATTATAATTGAGAACCGTACCACGGTTAGATATTATTACCGTGACCGTACTCTGTTGTCGTCATAAATATCGGTACTGATAAACAAACGATGGTATCCAAGGATACAAAATTTCAAAATTGTAGAACATCGTCACCACAGTATAAATAAAAGTATGATGATACAAGGCGCCAGTCTGTTGTATGTCATCGTTTACCAATTTAATTGTAGAAATGGTACAATATTATCGACTTTATTGACATTATTTCTTTTTAACCGACTTCCAAAAAGGAGGATGCTTCTCAATTCGACCGTATGTATGCTATATTTTTTAATAACTATCGTGAGACATACTAAATTAACTAAAAATCGCGGGTTCCTCACGTTTGTAATGGAAAAGCTCTACTAGTTTCGAACCACGAAGGGGTTCTTCCTCATGCATGAGCAGCGTGCGCGGACGCGGCGACACGTCGCGCAGCCTTCTGGCAGTAATCTGTGCTACTGGTTCATAGATTATACACTATACCTGGTTACTGGTTAGCGTTGGCGCCTGCTGCTGCAAATCGCTGTTAATGGTTGCGCTGCGGCGAGTCCAGCGCGCCATCTGCCGGATACCACGCGCGTTTGCTTCCATCTCCGGCGGCGGCGCGTGTGACGATGTTGAGGCGCACGGTACATTCACTAGTGGCGCGGGTAGTGGGTTCGATTCCGGGCCCGGCACAAAGTCAGTGTTACAATAATAATATGACGCTTACTGTGTCACACTCCAGACTGGATACGCTTCGGACCGACGTAGTCTCAAAGCTCGGCTTCCACGCGGGTGGCAGTGCCCAGCCACCATCTCTGTACAAACGTGAGTAACCCGCGATTTTTAGTTAATTCTGTTTATGTAGGTATATGCTTTTATTTTATATATGTTTGTTCGCCGATATATCTCCGTTATTTATTTATGAACCGATTTTGATAATTATTTTTTTGTTGGAAAGGAGATAGTCTCAGAATGGTCCCATGATAAGGATATCAGGATCTGATGATGGAAAACCAGAGAACACGAGGAGAACTTTCAAAAATTGTAGGGGCGATCGGTGCTTTTACATGTGGTTTAAGTAGGCTTTTGACAAAGCTACAACTTGCCGATGGTCGAACTCAAAGTCAAAGTCAAAATCATTTATTTCAGTTAGACCCATACAGGCACTTTTGAACGTCAACACAACTTTAAAGATACAAAGTGTCAGTCTGTCGGTCAGTCCTCTTAATGAATCTATTCGCTCGTTCCAAAGTGTAGATTCCGATGGAGAAGAACGAGCAAGAAACTCCATGGTTACTCTTTTAAAATCAGTGTCACATTAACATTTCACTAAAATGGAGAAGTCGTCGAAGGTTATTTATTGTGGTGAAGGTTTGCTATCCTGTGGAGCAGGACCAGCCCGTCTCCAAGCATCCTTATCCTCAATATAATCACTCAGTTTGTAATATGCTTTATTACACAAAGTTTTCTTTACACATAATTTAAAATTTCTTTCATTTAATTGTTGTATTTCGCCTGGGATTTTGTTATAACACTTAACGCTGAATCCCATGAACGACTTGTGTACCTTTGCCAATCTAAATAATGGCTGACACAATCTATCTCTATGTCTAGTTTGGTAATTATGTCTGTCTGATACCTTATCAAATAATATTAAGTGTTTCCTAACATACATTATATTTTCATAAATAAACTGACCGGGCACAGTCATAATATTGATCTCTTTAAATTTTTCTCTAAGAGATTTCGCGAATCTCTTAGAGAAAAAGGAAAGCCTTAGGTTGTAAATTGCTCTGATTGCACGCTTTTGCAAGACAAATATAGACTCAATGTCAGCAGCCACGACTCGACCTGATGATGGAGCCGGAAGACAGTCGAGGGATCTCCTTGACTATTTGGAGCAGTTGCCTTGTGAGTATAGGTACTTTGCACCAAGATTGGTCGTGACTGTCATTAAGGGTCTGATGATGAGAACGAAAGACAGCTCAGGGAACTCCTGAACGGTTTACAGTAACTACCTCGTGTTTGGACGTGATTCATTTATATCGATGAAAACTTTGCGCACCTTCATGGATTACAATGAAGTTATGCAGTAAATTGTGACGATGGGGCCGGAACCGTCGTGGGATGTCTTTGACTATTTGGAGTAATTCTAATGTGTTTGGACTTAATTCATTTATATTGATGAGAACTTTTCACCTTTATGGATTATGTATATGAAGGTCTGCAGTACCTATACCTGATGATGGAAATCATTGACATCTCAACGGTTTACGGCACTGAAAGCTAACTCAAGACTGCCGTGATTTTCGGTCTCAAGTAGCCGTCATCTTCTCTTTTGAGAAGTATCCTAGCTTTCTCTGCTTCATTCCATTTTAAGTGATAGCTTAAAATTGTGAAATAAAATAATTTTTTACTTCAATATTATTTTCTATTTAACTAAATGAAAATATTTATTAGTATAAACAAAGCAAATTATTTTTTTTTGCTTTTTAGTTTACTTTTTGAAGTCGGTTTTTTTTTGTTAATGGGTACTTGTTTTTAAATGTTTTAATTTGCTACTTTTTACCCGACTGCCAAAGAAGGAGGGTAATGTTTTTCGAGTGTATGTAAGTATGTATGTATGTCTTTTCCTTTGTGACCTCCTGTAGCCTAAACGGCTTGATGGAATTTGATGTATGAGGTATCGTTAGATTTGTCTTGATTACGGGAGTGTCATAGGATACATTTTATCCTAAAAGTCCCACGGGATAAAGACATAATAATATTTTTTCTAAATTTCCCTTTAAAAAAATATGTATGCGGTATCATTAGATTCATTTCAATCACGGGAGTAATTAATATAGGATACTTTTTTTCTCAAAATTCCCACGGGAACATGTTAATTCTGCGTCAACGCAAAGCAACTCAACCTTGAAATGTCGTCGAAATAATTTAAAATGGTACTTACATATACATAGTCTTCTACATCTACAACATTTTCGTTAAATAAAAACAGCTAAAAAGTTATAAATAAAAAAATTATTATTAAAAAAACAAAATACCCGACTGCACACTAAAAAAAGAGTAAAACAAGCCCCACAATACAAATTTACTGAATATAATTTATAAATGTTGATGGAAAGCATCGCAGGCGGGGACCACCTTGACCGCCACCAACGAAAATTCTGCTAAATGGTGCACAACAGAAATGACTATAAATAAGCCTCTGTTGGTCCCCGCCTGCGATGCTTTCCATCAACATTTATAAATTATATTCAGTAAATTTGTATTGTGGGGCTTGTTTTACTCTTTTTTTAGTGTGCAGTCGGGTATTTTGTTTTTTTAATAATAATTTTTTTTTATAAAATTTGATTAGGTTATGCAGAAAACCGCATGTTACAATTTTTGAAAGGTTTTTAATACTAGATTTTTTTAATATAATTGCAGACAAATCGTATAGATCTCGATACTTACTTTAAATTTTTGACACAATTATAGCTTTATTTATCTCTAAATCACACGTACTCGTATTATATGCATGAGGTGTAATGCTGGTAGGTTGGTAGGTATTTCCAGTTTATTCATTGCTTACATTACTGATAGGTAAATAAGTATTTTGTAAAAGTTGCAGTCACAACGAAAAGGACAGCAGCAGTAGCCTAAAACAAGTACCTACCTAGGTAATAATAGACGTGTGACGAGTAACATTTATGGTTTTTTAAAGTTCATTTTCCTAATGTTTTCCATATTTTCTAACATTTAATGTGCCTTTATACCGTGACAGTTACACTGTACCGATTTTTATGAATGCTTTGTGTAAACCTATCTACATATATGGTGACTTTGTTGTACCTACTGAAATTTTGGTGGTTATGCGTGCATCTATTAAACATACCTAGGTATATTGAGTACTCTGAATATATATATATATATGACGTTTACTGTACCAACCCCTAGTACTCACCCTAACTCTGAACGCCAGACTGCCTGGCATTACCTTCAGAGTAATCTTTAACAGAATATTTAGCGGGTATTAATGCGAAAAGTAATTAGTACATATCTTGGACGGCTTGACGTTTCGACCATATATATATAATCAATAATTTCAGCTTTCTAGTGGTAACAGTCACTGAGATTTCCCGCGGATGGACAGCCAGCCAGATAGACATGGCGAAACTATGAAAGTTCCTAGTTCACTGCGAAACCCTAGAAAGTTTATACGTACTAGGTATGTTGCAGTAGCAGCGGCAGAAATACTTTGTGATACTGATAACTACTATGTAGTTAATGAAACACACAGACGGACAAATATTTCTAGTATTATATGTGAGTATGAAACACTCAACCGTAAAATAAAAATAAATATGTGAAAATTTAATATATGTAGGTAAGTAAACTAAGTTTTAACATAAGCGTAAGTAGGTACCGGTGGTAGATACCTAGGCTACTGTATTATGCTTCATTCAGAACCGCCTATAGGTACCTTTTTCACTTGTCTCAATAACTTTGAATTACCTACTCTTTTCGCTTTATTTATTAATCCAAACACATTTTTCTCGAAATAAAAGAAATTAATTAAACAATAAAAAGAAACAATTATTTACCTACCTAGTAGTAGCACAGTATCAAAATATTTATAATGTGGTAGTAGGTTGTTAAGATTACATTAATCACGTTAATGGTAGTTCTGAGTTAGTCTGTACGGGACAGT